CATACACGGGCACCGTGACTCGTTTACGCATTCTAGTTACCAGTAACTAAAACTTCTGCTTTAATGTAATGTCACCGCATTTCTACAATCTCCTTTCTTACAATTTGGGGAGCAAGCTCTGGAACTCCATTCGGCGACTGTCCATGTGCAATGATCTGGAAATAAATTCTCCCTCAGAAGATTTTAAATTACTTCACTAAGAGAAAAATAATATGCGAAATGAGGGCTCGCGGATAGGTATGCTCAAAATGCTGCCGTTGACGATGTTTGAGGATATGTTCAATGCAGACAGATAATTTCCTGGAACAAGCCTATGATTGCAAAGGGGCTGACACATAGAAGATGCCGAAGAGAGACGGATAGAGGGCAAGAAAAAGACGATCCACTCCTAACCCAGCACACACAGACAGTGCAGATTATACACCGGAATGGCCATACCGATAGAACAGCAGCACCGTAAAATAAAGGCCCCTTAAAGATTCTGCATTCACTGGTAGATGAACTAGGCTTCCCATCGTCTTCTCCCTTTGATTCTGGGTTGCTACCCTGGTTTGCTTTGCGCTTGTGTTAGTCAGCTGTAGCGTGCTTATTATGTCAAAAGGCAATGGTCAATTATGATAAATCGATAAAAAAAATTCCGAATGTGGGAGGGGTGGGTATAGGGGCGGCTTCGGTCGCGCCAGCCACATGCGCGCGACCCTCCCTCCGTTCTTCCTGACTCCGTTTTTACATCAGGCGCAGTTGGAGTGTGATATATAATGCATCAGTCTGCTTAAAAACTAATTCACACTAAAGTCGTTGTCCCTGCACTATCCTGATGTGGAGCACACATAAGATCTAGTTGAAATTGACGGTCAAAATGTCGGTCCACACAATATGTGCGGGCCTAAATGCTTTAAAAAATCAATTTGATCATGTTTGCGTTTGCAAAAAAAGGGGAGAACATGGGTAAAATATAAAAATGGACACGCATTGACAGGTTTTTATGAGTGGAAATGAGTATCAGAGGCTTCACTTTGCCACAATTTCGATTTTGCATGCAGTAGAAACGCTTTAGCTGCAAAGTTAAAGGTGAAGCGGCTGACGTGAATAGGGAGTATTGCCCTTGGCTTACAGTAAAAGTGTAAGTCTGTTTCTGCAGTTATCATATTAACTAAAACAACGAACATACACCAGTTTATATAGAATGAAGATAATAAATATCGTCCAGCGATTCTCTATTTTTTAACAAATGACTGTTCATTTGATGAATGTATCGCTCAAGTACGAAATTTAATTATAGAGTAGACCCCAAAGATCACGCGACATTTCGACATATATGAAAGACT